TTTGTATCGGGAGAAAATTTTAAATGATTTTTGGAGACGATGGAAAAAAGAGTATCTTCTCCAATTAAAAGGTGTAAATTGTTTCAAACCTGTTAATGTAACCACTCATTTTAATATAAATGATGTAGTTTTGATAAGGGATGACAAACTACCTCGGTAGCTGTGGAAGTTGGGAAAGGTGATGGAATTACACACAGGCCGGGATAACAAGGTAAGAAGTATCACAGTGAAAACTTCTTCAGATTTAATAAAAAGGCCTATCCAAATGCTATATCATTTGGAACGAGATATGAATGATTGTTTTCAGAATTTTCAGGTATCTATTTAGTATTTCTTTAGTAACTGAAATTTGTTACTTGTGTTAGTTATTGTTTGATGATAATTGTTTTCTTTTCTATTTGCATTTAGCTTGTGGTAGTTAGTAAGGTAAAATGTAAAGTAGTAGCTAGTATGATGATAATGTCCTTTATATACAAAGTATTCATGCTATGTTCTATATTACAAGTTTTATAAAAGTATAAGATGTACTATTTTATTGTAAGATTTTGAATTTATGATAAATACCTTCGTCGCGGGCCGGAGGATGTTCCAACTAAAATTCCCAAAGGGATAAACTGAAGTTTGCTTTTGTTTTCAATAAATAATCAAAAGACAACTACTGTGAATTAAATGACTCAACACTTCAGAACGAAGATATCACAAAAACTGATGCATCACCAATAGGGTTAGGTGCGATACTTTCTCACAAACTTCCTGAAAGAACAGGAAGGCCAATTGCATATGGTTCAAGAACACTGACTGAAATGGAGAAAAAATATTCTCAAACCGATAAAGAAGCTTTGTCAATCATTTGGGAAATAATTATTTTTTCTGTACTTAAAAGGCAGGAAATTTACATTAATTACAGATCATAAACCTCTTGTTACTATTTTCGGCTCAAAGAAAGGCATGCCAGTTTTGGCAGCAACAAGACTCCTACATTATGCTTTGTCTTTACAGTCATTCCAATTCAATATTATTTACCATAAAACAAACGAGCATGGTAATGCTGACTTTCTATCACGATTGCCAACAAACTCAGAGCACTGTCTGTTCAGGATGATGTAACTATTTTTCAATTACAGCAGATTGAAACTCTTCCAATCACGGCCAGAGATTTGGCCAAAGAAACTGAATTAGATGCTGAACTTCTGTCCTCTGCTATGAATACTTCAAAGTGACAGTGAATTAAAAGGAAGGGAGATGGAGTACAGTCTTCAAGATGGCTGTATAATGTATGGTCAACGCGTTTGCATTCCAAAACGATACTGTGAGAATGTTCTGAAAAGTTGCACCACGAACACTAAGGGACTGTAAAGATGTAAGCAACTGCTAGATCTTATGTATTTTGGAATGGTATATATAAAGATATAGAAAATACTGCTTAAAATTGTTCTGAATGTGCAAAACATAAAATAGATCCTCCTAAGGTAAAAGTTCATCATTGGGAGTACCTGAGCTTTCCAATGGAACATATTCACATCGATTATGCAGGACCTATTTTTTAGCATATGTTTTTGATAATCATCGATACTCACTCAAAATGGCTAGAAGCCTATCCAATGAAATCAAGCTCGACTTTCAAAACAATAGAATGTTTACGGGACTTTTTTGCACAATTTGGATTACTAATATTGTTAGTGAGTGATAACGGGCCACAATTCACTTCACATGAGTTTAAGATATTTCTACAGAGTAACGGAATCAAACACAAAACTACAGCACTATTTAAACCATCTAGTAATGGACAGGCTGAATGGTAGGTGTTTACTGTAAAACAATCTTTAAGAACAATGTAAAATTATCTGGGAACTTGGAGGAAAAAACACAGTACATTTTTTATGCAATATAGAAAAGCTCTGAATTTAAATACTCTACAGAGCCTGCAATGCTAATGCTGAAGAAGGAAATTTGAACAAGAATATATTCATTTAGACCAGATCTCAAAAGGAGTGTAGAAGGCAGAGTTCAAAAAGGAACCTACAAGTTTGCAGACTGAGGATTTAGAGTAGGAAATAGAGTGGCAGTAAGGAATTATCTCCAAGGTGACAGACAATGGAGATTTGGAACCATCCAATCCAAGGATGGGCAGCTTCATTACATTATAAATGTAGATGGTTAGCTACGGCAACGACATGTTGATCAGATGCGTGATGGAGAGACATGCATCCGTTACAGATGAGAGGTTCATACGTCCACCTCCAGCTCTCATGATTTCCAAAGAACCTGATAAGAATGGAGTTCCAGAACCATCCAAAGATAACAGCCACCAAGCAGATGAGCCTGTGTCGTCCTCCGAGCCCAAGGTAGTACGAGATGTTTCATCCACTGGACCTGCTGCTGATACAACCAGGTTACCAAAGAAACCAGCAGTGCCACAACCTTTGCGTCTACTCAGCAGAATTTGACGTCCCCCAGATAGACTGCAGTTATGATAAAGGGAGGATGTGGTATATCGAGAACTATCGATATGATATATCATAATCGGACTTAAAGCTGGCAAAGCGCCAAGCATCGAAGCATGAGCAGTAATAAGAAAATGACTGGAATGCGAATAGCTGTAGTTATGAGTAGCTGTAGATATAAGTGTGCATGCAATTGATGATATATTTTGTATAAATAATAAAAGCAGCATGTAGTTTAAAAGAGTGTGTCTTGTGAAATAATTACCCACTAAAGGATACATGGTAGGTTTGTTGATTAAATTTGAAAGACAAACATTTTATGCTTTGCTGAATGGAAACCCCTTACTTTTAAATAGCTGAGTTTGTTAATAAAAATTTCATTAAGTTTGCACAAAACATAAAAAATAAATTTTCAAAAAAATTTAAATTCATGTTGCACAAGTTGGGAGTAGAGGACTAATAGTGTGTTCAAAATTTAATTATTCTAAAGTGCTGCTGTTTTTCCACAGTGTAAGGAATACACATACATACATGCATACAGATTCATTATCTAATAATATAAATTAGTCAATTATATTGTCATGATTAGTCTTGTGGCTTTCAAGCATGCCACCTAGCATGCAGCTGTTGCAGGGAATACAGTGTTCTATAAATAATAGCAAAAGGGTAAATGAAGAGTAGCAGTGGGAAGACAGAGTTCAGAAAATGGTAATGCCAACAATGCAAAAAGAAGTTTTTAAAAAAATTATTAGGAAAACAGTAACTGACATAAACGAAAAAAAAAAAAAAAAAAAAAAACTGTTTTAATGATATTGGAGTGGACAATCAATAAATAATAAGTGTCAACAGTAGAACAGGTATTTTGTGGATGTTTTGTCTTCTACCTTTAGGCTTTTGTAAATCTGGTTCTTCTTTCTTTTTAGGATCCAATAATAAGATATGAATGCAATTTAGGAACGGAGATTTCTATTATAATACCAACACATATACCTGCAGTACAATGCTAGCTTCACAGGAAAAGAATAAAATATTTAACAAAATAAATAAAACAACAAATAAATAAATAAAAACAATTCTAACAATGCTTAGAATTATGATGCCTTGATTATAATCTTTCTATATGAATTTAATTTCTTGTTTTATTATTATTAATCATTTTGCGCAATACATCACTTTGATTGCATCAAATTCAAGTAGGGAAAGAATCCCCCTTGATAACTCGAATTTTGATTTTTCAACTCTTTTATTTCCACAATTAAAACTTTTTATATAATCATAATTTATGGTTACAACAGTAAGACACACATGTTTTTCCTATGTGTGTTTATCTTAATAATTTAAAATTTCCTTTAAAATGGAAAATTGTGAATCTTTTTTTCCCCCCTTCCAGTTTCATATAACAATGAACAACACATTTGAAAATAGTAAAGAAAACTCTTATTTGCTTCTGTAATCAAAATGTAATCATTTAGAAATAGTTTTCATATTGAAGATGTTTTTAATACATACAAGAAGCATTAAAATGACTTCAAAAAAAGTAACAACCCTCCATAAATATGAAAGAAGTCTTCTTTTTTTATTTATTTATTATTTATTTTATTTTTTTTTTTTTTACATGCAGATACTTATGAAAACTTCTGGAGCTTAAGGACACAATCAACTTACTTAACATAACAACATGATATGAAATATTATATTCTGAAATGTCTTTAATATAATAAGATATTTTATTCAATCAATATTTTAAAATGCTCTGAAATGATAATCATTTGTAACACAAAGTAAATGACAGTGCTTTCCACTAAATTATAATTTATTACACTGAAGTTCAGCTACTTCAGTGATAATTTAATTATTAGAATAATAATTAACTACACTTGGTAATCAGAGGTTACAATTTAGAAGCATTAAAAAATAGCTCTCCTGCATGTTATTATAAATTTTAATGCTCAGATATGAAAAAATGAAGAAAATAAAACATGTTAAGAATAATGAACTTATTTTAATTGAAATATCCATTACAATTTTGTGTTTGATATAATGGATTACAGTTATTTACAACAGAACTATGGCATGTTCCTGGCATTAACCCTCTGAATGCAGGTTCTAAGAAGAATGCTTTCAATTCCCCTCCCCCTGAATGTATGAAGGGTTTTGGTTTGGTTTATTTAATTATGCCAAAGCACACTAGGGCTATCAGCCTAAGGGGAGGGATGCCTTTGTGGAGGACTTTCTAAGGAAAACTGGCTCGTATACACGTTACACATGGGGGAGACCCACAAAAACGCCCATGCAGCCAGCCCGTTCGTGGGATTCGAACCTCAGACCGAACTACCAGTGTTCAGTGACTTAACCGCTCGCCCGCTGGTGGGCTGAATGTATGCAGGGAACATTCTTATTGTATTGAAACTAGGATTTCACCTGCAAATAGTTTTGCAGAAAGAAAAGGTACGATTTTTTCCATGCTTTCATGAATTTTTTTCCACAGTCAGAGTGTTAAAAGATTTTCTTTTCTCATTAGAGGAAAAATATTACATATTATGTATTCAATCTTACATTTGTTATGTTAACTCCAGTTAACTTAGTCACAACATGAGGAACATTGGCAATTATGTCTAGTACTTCCCCAGTTAACCTGCTAGCTCCAACATCATTTTTTCCATCTGACACCATTACAACTCGATTACAATTTGACAAAGGTGCAGCAACTTCAGCAGCAATCTAATTGAGAAAAAAAATGATTAAATAACATGCTTAACACTTCATATTTAAACATCAGAAATTTTGATAACACAGAGTTAAAAAAAAAAGTGAATGAATACATTTGTTCTGATTTACAATCTTCTATTCAAAATAATTATTTTCATGACAAGAAATTTAAAGAATTTCTTTTAAATTAAAAAATACACAATGCACTCAATACATAAAAAAATGAAAAAGTTTCAAGTTATTAATCTTACTTCCACAAAACAGGAAGTATTTTAATAGTTTTTTTTACAATTTAAAGTTGAATTACATTCAGTTCAGCCCCTTTTAAACAAGATTAAAGTTTTAATAATTTAATTTATCCAAAGGAAAAAAAAAAGTTAGGTTGAAACAATGTCTTTTTGATTAACTTAAAATCAGAACTATTTTATTGTCATGATAATTCATATTTTGGTTACTTTAACACAGCTGTATTCTAATTTCAATTATTTTACTGTAATTCAAAGTGGAAAAGGAAACATTTATTATTAGACATATATTGCTTTTATCATCAGTATTACAGTTTTATTATCAATAATCCATTTTTGGTTTAAATTTATTTACTGCTTCCATATTAAATGTTGTTACTTATCCCTTGAACTAAGTGTAAAAACTGTTTACACTTAGTTCAAGGGATAACAGAATCCTTGAACTAAGTGTAAACAGTTCAAGGATTACATAAATCCTTGAACATAAGGATAAACATAACCTTATTATAATAATTATAATAAATTATTATAATTATGTTATTATAATTATGGATAATTATAATAAACATAATGTGATTATGTTATTTAAGTCTGGAAATATACATATTATTCATAAGGGCCTAAAACAATACATTTTAAAAGGATTTAAAAATGATCTCCCCCACCCCACTCCACCCCCCCCCAAAAAAAAGGTTGTAATGCTGTTAAAAATGTTTTAAAATGCTGAATCATTTCTAACATGACTGAAGATAATTAGTACAGGTTAAAACATTTAATAAGGTTTCTTATGCAATATTAAACATTAGTAACAATTACCACATAAATGAAAGGAGCAGGTTTTTCACTAAGTTTATTACACACAATATATATCAGTTAATTACACACATTAATATTTTATATCAGCAATACATGTTCTAATAAGGCATTTTAAAGACATGAAGCAAAATGTAAATTTTCTTGAATCTGAACTCTAAAAGGCTCTTGAATCTATGGAGTCCTTCATATAAGAATAATGATAAAAAAGAGAGGGCAGTTAATATTTTTAATTAAAACAAAATTTGAAATCTACATTTAAGAATATAGTTTTAAAAAGTACATTTGTATTTATAAGATGAAGGAAGTATTAAAGGAAATTTAGTAAACAAAGTACCTCGTTAAAACTCTTGAAATTCGAGACTCATTTTCTGAATATCATTTGATAAAAAATATTTGAATTACAGCTCAGATTTTTATATTTTTCCAGAATTTTTTTAAATTCAAAACAATGGATGAGAGAGAATTATTTCAAGAATTAACACAAATAAACATTACACACAGAACAGTAAATTTTGTACTTCCTTGTTAAAGCAGCCAAATGGGCTAGTCCCCAAAATCAGAAGATTATTTGCCAGAGCTGGTAAGGTCTCAGATTTTTAATGTCCATTAAGTTTCATTTTCAGACTTTTGACAATGAATTTGTCCAAGTAATATCAGTCAATATTTTTAAGTTTAATATTTCCCCTTCTTTACAATGTTAAGTATTCTTAATTGATAATCAGTTGGAAAAGAAACAACATTTTTTTGTGCTATTTATAGCATGCAACATATTTGACTTTTCACTCTTGCTTTACATCACATGGTTGGTTTATTTAATTTCGGCAAAGAACTCAAGGACTATCAGCCTAAGGAAGGGATGACTTAAGGAAGAGGAATTTTTAACATTAGACCACATGATACTGTTCTTCTGTTACGTTTCCCCTTTTTAAAAAGTTTACGATGTTTAACCTTCTGTCAAGTGAAAAATAAACAGCAGTTTCTTTGCAAAGCCATTTGTTCTTTTGTATTCTTTTTTTACTTTTCCTCCCCCTCTGAAATGTTAACCATATTTAACTTGCAGTCAATTGAAAAAGAAGCAATGGTTTTCTCTGCAAGAGCACACAGTTATGCATATTGACAAAAAATGTATAAATGGCCACTAATTTATTGGAAGATAAAGTACTTTGGAGATGCAAGTGAGAACCTACAGGGAAATAAAAAAAAAAAAAAACTTATGCTGATAGTTTGTTTTATAGTTCTAGGATTCCTTTTCTAACTGCTGTGCATTTCATATACTGTTACGCTGAAGAATAACTTTAGTTCTTCAGCCCACCAATACATGAAGTTAGTGAGGTTTTAGATTAAGATTTCAAAGAGGGAGGAAAAGAGTGAAAACTCAAGTTTTTGAACTTGAATCTCTTCAAGATTTGTAGGATTTAAATTGTTCTATCCCACTTACTTTCTTACCACTATTGCTGCATAATTTAGAAGTAAAATTAGTGCTTTTTTATATTAATTCTAATGCAAGTATCAACTCATATAAATAATATATGAAGTTAAATTATCTCACTAAGCTTTACAAAACATAAAAATGTACAATTCCCCCCTTTAATATTTTCAAGTATAGATAAGTAAATTAAACCATATATTTAAGTCCAATGCATTATGCAAGATAACAAATTAATACAATTAAAAAAGTGACAAGGAAATCTTTCAAATATAATTAATTATATTCAGCATGTTTCTACTTTCTTTAATGGGGGGAAAAATAAAAGGGAAAAGAAAGAGAAAAAAAAAAGCTATTGATTCAAAAAAAAAAAACAAAAAAAAAAAAAAAAAAAAAAAAAAAAAAATTTATAAATTTTTAAATTATCCCTCTAAGCCAGAAATGGGCAAACAACAGCCTTCCTGAAGATTCTATCCAGCCTGTCACAAATTAAAAAAATTTATTACATTTACGAAATTATAATACAACATACATTATTATATGTTAATAGAGCTCACACCAAAACAAAAATGAGTGTCACATTATTGGCATGGAAAATGAGTTCATTTATAAGAGGTTTGTTATCACATTTCACTGACATTTAAAATGCTCATTTACAGTTCTGTTCAGTACCTTTCTATTGTGACACAAGTGCAGACATGTATAACGAGATTTACATCTCCCCTTGAAAATTTCTTGGAAAATGATATCAGTTGATAATCTTCCTAAATTAATACAAGTACTCTTTTTCTTTTTTCTATTTTTCTTCTTCCCTCCCACCAATGAACATGGAAATTTTAGTTTTACAATAAAGTTATCTTTACTAGTTCTAGTCAGTTATAAAATAATTAAGCATTCATGACCTTGAAGAAAATTAAAATTTACAAAAGAGGCTAAATTTTTATTTGTTTCTTCAATAACTGTTTAAGTTGCCTTTTTTTTTTTTTTTTTTTTTTTTTAACTAATACTTTCTTTTTAATTTTATAAATAGACACAATTTCTTGATTAGTTACAAAGTTCCATTGTTCAAGTCCTGTAATTGCTGTTCTAATTCCCACTAAATTGTTAATTGAAATTTTTTCGCTCCCAGGAACCTCCCTATCACTTCCTTCACTATTGGTAGCAATATTTTCTGGATTTAGAACCATACTAGATTTTGCCATCCATTTGTTGACTAATTGTTGGGACACTGTCATCGCTATGGAACACTTGTGTTATATCATTTTCATTTATAATCACTTCTCCACACTTCTTCTCTAATTCCATTAATTGGGAAATTTTGCATTTTGTTTGCCATACCCCAAAACATTTCAAATTTGTAGTTATTAACACAAAGCTTAGCTAGCATTTATTATATACTACTGGCAATGTATTATGAGATTTGCAACTAAAGACCTGTTGTTTCACTAATCTTTTGTCTTGCTTCTATCACGCAATGAGGAAGTTAAGCCCAAATTATATTAGTTTAGTTATTTATTATACCTACATCTATTTCTCACACATGATTAAGGCTTAATCGATTCTCGAATAAATAAATTCTTGCATATACTCAAGGCTTATCCAGGGGCAGCCCTTGACATTTTGTGGCTCGATACAGTCTCTGCTGGGCCTAAAATCTAATGCCAAACAGCTCCCCTAAATTCTAAAAATTTTGCTTTACAGTTCATGCCTTAAAATTTAAAGATTCTGCTGTCACTTAATTTGTTTGCTTGGTGATTCTCTAAACTCTAAAAATTGTGCCACTTAGTGTGACTGCACAAGCTCTGGTGCCCGCTCTGCACCTATATGAATAACAAATCAGTTACTCTTAATTCAAACAGCATTAAATGTAATTTTTTGGCTTAAGAATATCATTTACAAACTCTATTTTTTGCATATGGAAAGAAATTTAATCTGTTAAATTTCTCCTTATCAACGCATACCACTCTTCACAGCACAGGTGGCTGAAGTGTGTAATTATCATCGTGCATAATGTCAACATAAAAGTTTACCACACTGTTTGGTATTCAATTACTAACAGGTGCGGTTTTTTTTCTTCTTTTTTTTAAAAAAATGTTTTAGACATTTTGGCATGAATCATTCCTCAAGCTGCCATGTGTTGATAGCCATGCAGTGATGAAAGCAAAAAATACTAACCAATGATTCCCCAGTTTAGCATCAAGGATATAAGTTATTCAATAGGTGTAAAATCAGTGATGTTTTGATATAGATTATTTCAGTTTGAGATATATGACAGGGTAAAAAAGGACTACAGTGCTAAATTATTGATTACACAGATTTATGCAAATAAATGATCACGTTTCTTTAACATAAAGGTCTTTTATTCAGTACCAAAGAAACATTAAGTCAGGACGCCCCATATACTTCATTATTAAAAAATATCAAATGCACATGTGTGAAGCATTAAGCATATAAAATTTTTTTTTAAAAAAGTTGCTAGTGGTTCAGAGGTTTCAATGCTGGATGTCCAGGTTTCGGACTTTGCA